AGATTGCCGCCATGGTCAATTGGCTACAACCAACGTCTCTCAAAGCTTTGAGAGGTTTTCTGGGTTTAATGGGCTACTATTGGAAATTTATTCGCCATTATGGGATAATCAGCCGACCCCTTACCGAGTTGTTAAAGAAGAATGTTTTCCGCTGGACTTCGTCGGCTACTGAGGCTTTCCTTGCCCTCAAGAAGGTTATGAGTGAAGCTCCTGTTCTGGTCTTGCCTGACTTCTCCCTTCCCTTTACCTTGGAGAACGATGCGTGTGGCACGTGGGCGGGGGCAATCTTATCGCAGCAGGGCCGGCCGATTGCTTAGATTAGTAAAGCTTTCGGAGTCAGGAATCAGGGGAGGAGTACATACGAGAAGGAGTATTTGGTCGTTCTTATTGCTGTTGATTAGTGGCACCATTATCTTGAGGGGCGGCTTTTCAGATCAAGTATCGCCGGGGTAAGTTCAATGGTGCACCTGATGCCCTTTCCAGACAGTCTGATGAGGATGTGGAATTAGGGGATTGTTCGTCCCTCTCCACAGTCCTTCCCGAGTGGATGGTGGAGGTCTAGAAAACTTATGTTGGTGATCAATGGATCACAGACAAGATTGCTGAAGCTGTTCTTACTTCCTCTGGCCCTTTTCTTTGGTTGTTTTCTCAGGGAGTATTGAGGTATAAGGGGGCTATAGTGGTTGGGTCGGTTGGTTTTATGAGGGATAAGATGTTGAAGTTGTTCCACTCCTCGGCGGTGGGTGGACACGCGGGTGTGCAGGGAACTTATCAGAGGTTGAAGTCTCACTTTCATTGGGTGGGAATGAAGGCGGCTGTTCAGGATTTTGTGCGTGCTTGTGACGTTTGTAGCAGGTGTAAGGCGGAGACAGTGGCTTCTCCTGGGCTTCTCCAACCTTTGCCAGTCCCGACCCAGGCTTGGCAGGATATTAACATCGACTTTGTGGAGGGGTTGCCTAAGTCAGCTGGCAAGGAGGTTTTGTTTGTGGTCGTCGACCGTTTCACCAAATATGTCCATTTCTTTGCCCTTTCCCATCCTTACTTGGCTGAATCAGTGGCCTAGGTTTTCTTTGATGGCGTTTTTAAACTCCATGGGATGCATAAGACGATTGTTTCTGATCGTGATTCGACGTTTACCAGCACTTTTTGGACGGATTTTTTTCGTCTTCAGGCTTTTGATCTTCACTACTCGACGGCTTACCATCCGCAGACCGACGGCTAGACGGAGCGGGTCAATCGCTGTTTGGAGGATTTCCTCCGATGTATGACGTTTCACCGGCCTTAGATTGGGCTGCTTGGGTGACCTTAGCGAAGTGGTGCTACAACACCCACTTTTAGGTCAGCCTTCGCCTCACTCCGTTTGAAGCTTTGTACGGTTTTGCCCCTTCCTTTTTTGGCCTTTCGCCTCTTGACTCGACGACGGTTGGTGTTGTGGAAGATCGTCTCACTCGGCAACAGCAGTTGATTCCTCTTCTTCGGCACAATCTCACTGTGGCTCAAAACAGGCAGAAGCAATATGCTGATCGTCGTCGCTCCGAACGGTCTTTCCAGGTGGGCGATCGGGTTTATCTTCGACTCTAACCGTTTCGTGAAGGTTCGGTAGTAGGAAGGCAAGGCAGTAATCTGGGGCCACGATTCTTTGGTCCTTACCGAGTGCTGGCTAGAATGGGTGCCGTTGCTTACAAGTTACAGCTGTCGGCCGATGCTAAGGTCCACCTGGTGTGCCACGTCTCCCAGCTGAAGCGGTGTGGGTCTCAATTTGTTCCAGAGGTGTCTGTTCTCCCAGGTGTCGATGATCAGGGGTCTCTGAAGCTCATTCCCGACGTTATTCTCGCTCGCCGTTTTGTGCAGCAGGGTGATCGAGCCGTTACACAGGTTTTCGTTCAGTGGTCTCATCAATCCCCAGCAGATGCTACTTGGGAGGATTACCATTCTTTTCGTGCTGCTTTTCCTGCCTTTCCAGCTTGAGGACAAGCTGTGTCTTGAGGGGGGGAGATTTGTAATGACCCCAGGTGACGAAGACGAAGGTGGACGACAGCTGGCAAGGGTATAAATAGACAAGAAGAACTGATTGTAGCTATCTTTGAGCTTTTATCCAATAAACTGTCGAGAATAGTTAGACAATAGCTTTACTTCTTCTTTCCTCTGTAAAAACTCTGCTTCTCTACTTCGCTGGAAATAAACACCGATCCTCATTCTTTACATCCATCTACCTCGTCTTTGCGTACATGGAACACGACCTCCAGGCCTGTCCTCTTCCCCTGAAATTAACCTCACCGAGCCCCAAATCAAGTGCTACCTTCGCGGTGTGATGCACATAAGCATCAAGATATCCAACATCCTCGTCAACAACAACGACATCCTCAAGCTCACCAATTTCAGCCTGGCCAACGTCCTTGTGGCTTCCGATGGGAAGCAGCGGCTCACCAGCCGCCTTGTCATGCTCTAGTACTGATTACTATCCATAGATAATTAGGTTTTATTTTTTAATAATTTTGATAATGAGGTGGAAAAATAAAATTTATTTTTTATTTTTTAATTGACACGTCACTCACTTAATGGTCAACTATTTTTTAATTGCCATATTATAAAATTTTAACGAAGAGTGACCACACTTGATCAGTTGAACTAATTTAAGTGACTATGGATGAAATTAACTAATTTCAGTGGCAAACGTGAAGATTTTATGTTATTTCAGTGACCAGACTTGCAATTTACCCGTTAATTCAGTAGCATAGTATAGATTCTATTGATGGTGTGTCTAATTAATTAATCATGTGTACAAATATGCGTAAGATAAATTGATAATGACCTCATGAAAAGTACAAAAATTAAAGAACTAATAGATACATTTATTTCAAACAAAGATATGAATATTTTCATTTTATTAGCCTAGTTTGGCCCTGCGGTAGCTTTTGCAGAAGCAGCTTCTGGCTGAAACTTTTAGATAAGTACTTTTCAAAAAAAGCAGTTGAGTGTTTGGCTGTAAAATTATTAGAAGTGTTTTTTAATATGAGAGGTTGTATAAAATGGCTATAAAGGACTTATAATAAAATATGAATAAAAAATTCTAAACAATAAAAAGTAGTCAAAATGGATCTTGTTAGATTTCTTTTATATTAAATAATATGATTTTATAATTTATTTTATTTTTAAAATGATATAAATGAAGAAAAATTATATTTTCTGAAATAAAATTAAAATATGGTAAGGATAATCTTGTATTTTCAAATTAGCTTTTCACATAAGCTCCAAAACGGAGCTTCTGCGTTTGTGTTATACAAAAGCGCTTTTCGGCTTTTCAAAAACCGAGCTTTTACAGGTGTTTGGCCCTGCTTCAGCTTTTGAAGCCAAAAAGCACTTCTAAAAGTAAGGAAAAAATCCAAAAGTACCACTGTTTAAAAAAAAAATTCCAAAAATACCACCCAACCCCAAAAAATTCCAAAAATACCACCCTTTTTCAAAAACCGCCACCCCACCCAGCGGTTTGGTCGAAAACCGCTTGTCGGGGGCGCGGTTTTGGACCAAACCGCGGGCCTAGGGGGCGGTTATAAAAAAAAAAATTGGACCAAACCGCTGGGTGGGGTGGCGGTTTGGCCGAAAACCGCCACCCCAACCAGCGGTTAGGTCCAATTTTTTTTTTTTTCCGACCAACTCCTAACTTCGGTCGAAACTTCAAACGAACGTAACTTTGCACTCGGGTATCCGATCGTAGCGATTTTTTTTTTCATTTCGCATAACTTTTTAAGATCTACAACCTTTACTAGGATGCAATTTTCATAACAGGAACTATTTGTGGATATACGGGACCTTGAGAATAACTTTACCTTTACTTTTCAGAAATCCATGTACATTTTGAAATTATGATTATATTAAAAGTTGTAGATCTTGAAAAGTTATGCGGAATAAAAAAAAAAATTCATGACATTCGGATTTTGGAGCACAAAGTTATGGCCGCCCAAAGTTTGACGAAATAAAAAAAAAGGTCGTTCGGGGTGGCAAATGACGTTTTTTCGAGACGAAGACGGGACCCGACTGTTTGAGAGTTGCAAGATCTCAAAAATTTATTCGGATTCAAAAAATGGAGGCAGAAAACTTTTTGAGATCTTGCAAGCCGCAAACCGCCGGGTCTCGCCTTTCGTCAAACTTTGGGCGGCCATAACTTTGTGCTCCAAACTCCGAATGTTATGAACTTTTTTTTGATTCCGCATAACTTTTTAAGATCTACAAGTTTTAATATAATAATAATTTCAAAATGTACATGGAGTTCTGAAAAGTAAAGGTAAAGTTATTCTCAAGGTCCCGTATATCCACAAATAGTTCCTGTTTTGAAAATTTCATCCTAGTAAAAGTTGTAGATCTTGAAAAGTTATGCGAAATGAAAAAAACAATCGCTACGATCGGATACCCGAGTGCAAAGTTACGTTCGTTTGAAGTTTCGACCGAAGTTAGGAGTTGGTCGGAAAAAAAAATGGACCAAACCGCTGGTTGGGGTGGCGGTTTTGGGCCAAACCGCCACCCCACCCAGCGGTTTGGTCCAAATTTTTTTTTCTTATAACCGCCCCCTAGGCCCGCGGTTTGGTCCAAAACCGCACCCCCGACAAGCGGTTTTCGACCAAACCGCTGGGTAGGGTGGCGGTTTTTGAAAAAGGGTGGTATTTTTGGAATTTTTTTGGGTTGTGTGATATTTTTGGAATTTTTTTTTAAACAGTGGTACTTTTGGATTTTTTCCTAAAAGTAAGGCCAAACATAAGAATTATACTCAAAACACCACTTGAAACAGATCTCAATTATGAAACATGGCCTCTACAATTCATTATACGATGCGGAATATAAGTGACAAGGTATAAATAAATAATAGGATTGCGTGAAAATAGTGGATATGCCACGGTGGACGGTGGTACATCTATTTTATCCTTAATTTTTTTACCCAACTTAAGTACACTATAGATGCAGCTAGTACTTAACACCATCTACCTGCCACTTGTGGGATATAAGTTAAAGTTATAACTATCCGATCGTCCGATCCCCAAAGCTTTCCCTTTACCACTTCCTCCTTTCCATCTCTACTTTCTCTAATTCTCTCTCAGGGATGACAACTATGGAGCAAGAAGGTCAAGAAGCAGAAAAAGAAGCCAACGCATGCAAAACCAAAAACAGCAGCTGGGAAGAAGACTTTTACTGGACTCATTTCCAGTTCACCCATTTCTTCCGATTCCTGCATGCCGGTTTCCACCGCACCCTTGTAAGCTTTTCTTCATCTTCGTCTTCCCACAAACCTAACATCTTTACACTAATTCATGAATTGGGTAAAGAAAAGAAAATCGGTAAAGGGAATTTTGTGGTAGCAGATTGCTCTCCGGCTAGGAACGAAGCTCGGGAAAATGGTGTTTTGTGGGCGGCGCGGAGATGAGTGTTGGATGTGGGGGTTCTGGGAAATGGGATTTGTGGTTTGGGTGGTGAATAGAATGGTTTGGGGAAATTTAACAGGGAAGAAGGTGAGTGGAAGGCAGATTGAGTTGGACGTATCGTGGGTTTGGATTTGGGGGAAGAGATGCAATGGGGAAGAAATGTTTTTTTATTTTTAGGGTTTACATCTGAAAATTTCATATCTGGACATAGTGCTTATTTTGTGGGTAAGAGATTTCTAGGATTCTCTAGGAACCAGACCTTGATACTATATCAGAAGTTTTGTGGAGAGAAAGTGAAACCCTAGAACCTTAAGTTTTCTCATTCATCCTTTTCGTTTAAATAGGCAAGGCTTGCACTCATGACAAGGTGTGCTAGCTTACATTTGGAGAAAACAACTACAAAGATAAAACATAACCCAAGTTGAAATCTAAACTAAAAATTGACATTAAACTAACTTGATGATGATGATTTCCTCTAAACTTAATCATCTTGTCATTGGAGTCTTGACGATAACTTGTAATATTTCCTGATACAAAAACATACCCACATGTCAATCTTGCAAACGCAATCTTCCCATGCATGACCAAATTTGACTGATGAATTTAGTCCAACAAATTGCAGGCACTGCCCAAGAAGTTTTCCGGCCGGTTGAAAGCCAAATTGCCGGAGACCGTCACTCTGACGGGTCCAAGCAGAGTGAAATGGACCGTCGGATTGACCACCACGACCCTCGCAGAAGAGAGCACTGTGTCCTTCAGCCGCGGATGGAGCGAATTCGCCGCGGACAATTCGCTCCAGGTTGACGATCTCTTGGTGTTCAAGTACAACGGCGAGTCCCGTTTTGACGTTCTGATCCTCGAAACTGGTACATCCTGCGAGAAGCCCGCCGCTTATTTCGCCAAGAAAGGGGAAATTGACGATGAGCTGAAGAGGAAAACAACTGGGGAAAATTTCGCCGGAGTTCATGTGTCCCCTGCCTCCCCGCCTGCAGGGGACGACAACATTGGAGCTGACGGGATTCCGCCGCCGCCGGAGAAGTATGTAGAGATCGTAGTCGACGACGATGAGCCAACATCGTCGACAGGGCAGCCTGTATCGTCCGGCGTTTCCAACAAAAGGACCAACCCCAAATTGAAGCGGACGAAACTGGTGGTGGAGCAGTACGACAGGTATGTGACAGAGGAGTCCAAACGGAAGGCTGTGACAATGGCGAGATTCGCTGCAGGCAGAGATTGCTTCATCTCCGTGATGAAAACCAGCAGCGTTTGCAAGACATTTTACCTGGTAATTAAATCACTCTGCACTTCACATTAGTGATACTATGATCACCGTTAACTCGATCCGGTCTAGTACTAGTATTTGTATGTTAGCAAGTGGTATAGGATTCATAATTGAACATATTTGAACAATTCCAATTATTGAGATCAACGATAAACTTGATTGATCGTTTTGCCCCATCGGATTTGGTTCCACGAAATCTGGTTTATAGCTAGGAGGATTCTGGTTTGGTTTATTGGCAGTCGGTCCCGAGCGCGTGGATGAAGAAGCATCTGAACTATGGGGAGACGCAGGAGCTGATACTGAGGGTGGGAGAGAACGAGTGGCCGGTGAAGTTCAGGCCGAGGAAGAAGAAAGGATGGGGAGGGCTGGGCGGTGGATGGAGGATCTTCGCTCAGGACAACAATTTGCAGCCGTTTGATGTCTGTCTGTTCCAACCTTCATCTGCGACGTCTGTTCTGTTGAACTCTGCTGCTGTTGTGCTGGAGGTCAAGATATTTCGTTGTAGTTAGTTCTGGTAATGTAAATGTGTAAGTAATGGTAGGTGAATGGTTGGTGTTTAGGAGATCTAGCTATGTGTTATCTTGATGTATCTTTCTAAAGACTTGTGAGCCACGGGAAGGCGGCCTTGGGCGATGGCACATAAGTAAACTACGCATCAGGAGGCTTGCTTTTTCTTTTTTCTTGTTCTCACCCCGCTCGTTGTTTTAACAGTGTTGTCGTCCTCCTAATGACTAAAAAGATCTTTTGGCGGACAATTCGACTATTGGGTGGGCTAGTTTGATCCTGCTCTAACTTGCAGAAGCAGTATCTGGTTTGAGATAAGAAGCAATAGCTAGTTTGAGTATATGGTTTGAGACAAAAAGAAGCGGTATCTAGTTTGAGATTTTAGAGAAGTATTTTAAAAAAGACCGTTGATAGTTTGAATGAAAACTATGGAAAAAATTCAAAACTATCACTATAAAAGAAAGGGTTAATACCTTAGTTTGGCTCGAACTATAGACAAACTTTCTACTTTGGCCCGTGTTATACTAAATTGCTATTCTGACCTAAACTATGGAAAAAATTCAAAACTATCACTATAAAAAAAGGGTTAATACCTTAGTTTGGCTCGAACTATAGACAAACTTTCTACTTTGGCCCGTGTTATAGGAAATTGCTATTCTGACCTAAACTATGTAGCATACTTTCTTATTTGGCCCGGATGTAGGTTTGACCGTCAAATTAGACGGTCAACCGAGTTTACCGTTAGTCAAAGTTCACCTCACTTGCCACGTCAGCTATCAGGAAATAAAATTATCTTTTTTTGAATTTTTGAATTTTGTTTAATTTCTAAAATTAATTAAAAATAATTTGGAGAGCTCTTTTAATTATTTTTTTCGTTTATTATTTTTATTGTTAGAAAATAAATAAATTTCAAAATTAAAAAATTAACTTTTTATTCCCTGATAGCTGGCCTGGCAAGTGAGGTGGACCTTGACTAACGGTCAACTCGGTTGACCGTCTAATTTAACGGTCAAACCCGCCTCCGGGCCAAATAAGAAAGTATGCTACATAGTTTAGGCCAGGATAGCAATTTATGATACCACGGGCCAATGTAGAAAATTTGTCTATAGTTCGTGCCAAATTAAGGTATTAACCCTAAAAAAAATTACAAAAATACTACTCATTCCCAACAATTTCCAAAAATACCACCCTTCCACACAAAACGCACCTCGAAGGAGCGGTTATAATACAAAACGCGCCTCCAAGGTGCGGTTAAAACACAAACCGCCTCTGGAACGCGCGGTTTGACCCTTCCTGGCTGTCAAACCGCGTTGCCATGTGGCGGTACATGCAACCGCGGGATGGGGGAGCAATCTGACGGCCAAACCGCGCGCCAGCTCAGCGATCCGCGTCGCTCAGTCAAACCGCTCCCCCGAAGCGCGGTTTGACTGTTGGGGAACGCAAACCGCGCCCCCAGGGCGCGGTTTTAGGCAGGGTAAAAGGACGAAACCGCCCCTCCCTCACGCGGTTTCGTCCCTATATAAACCCCCCTTCCCCCTCCCATTTTCTGCACACCAAACTCATTCCCCCTCCCTCTCTCTAACTCCTCACTCTACCCACCCTCATCCCCACCCAAAAACCTTAGAATTAGTTATTTTGTTGGTTGCAGCTAAGTCCGATCTGCCTTCAAAAAACTTTTTCTTTGGTTTTCACTAAAAAACCGTCGAATCTCTGTCCGGATTCGGAAAAAATGGCAGATTTTATCCAAGAAGAGGGCATTTACTATGGTGATTATCAAGCGGTACGTACTCATTTTACCCAATTCTTGTTGTTGTTATAATGATTTATTTAATTTATATACTAATTGATTTATGTTGTTGTTATGCTATCGTAGGTTGGGCCGGATGTTGATATTTACAATCAACGATATTATGTTGATCAAGGACCGATTGATCCGACTGTTTTATACGATCAAGCTAATCATCGTTCAAGAGACGTTTGGAACGACCACAAGGTACATATTATTTATCATCACTTGTAATTTGTATTTTGTTAAAGTAATTTATTTGTTTGTACAATAATTTACTTAATTGTTAATCGTATTGATTATTTTCAATAATTTAAATCAATACAATACAACACTTATTTAGACTCTTTATAAAAAATGCATGTCTAAGGAAATGGGGACTTAAGTGATCATCATGATCCCCCCCATGACCTGGAAAAATCGGGTTCTAAGCGATCCTCGGATCCCCCCTTTTTCTGTCAAAAACACTGTGTTTCTAAGGAGATGTATACCTCTCCTAAGAGTCTTACGAGTGTACTTGTATTGCTTTAAATTATTGAAAATAATCAATACGATTAACAAAATAATATATTTTATTTTATCTGTATGTGTACAAAAAATAATTATACTTAAATTTCGAAAATTAATTTAGTTATATTAAAATTAATGTTTATTAGATAATGTATACTTCTCAAAAACAAACTTGATTTAATTAATATTGCATCTTATAATATATTTTAGTTATGTTAAAATTAATGTTTATTAGATAATGTATATTTCTATAAACAACCTTGATTTAATTAATATTGCATCTTATAATATATTTATATATGTATAAATCATCAACTTATAGTGAAAGTTAAATTCTTCTCTAGGATGCATACCATATAGTCCGCTATAAGGGTACGACGAATGTGCTTGAATGGAACGACGTCATCTTGCCCTTTCTAAAAAGGGTCAGATTGGATTCGATTAGGCATTTTAATGGAATCAAGATCGACCGCCAACTCATCAGAGCATTGGTAGAGAGATGGTGAAAGGAGACACACTGCTTCAATTTTCGTGAAGGCGAGTGCACCATCAAACTTAAGGACATCGCCATCCTAACCGATTTGCCCATCGATGGTGATGTTATTTGTGTGGACTCTACGCCACCACCTAAAGTTGTTGCCAATATGAGTGGTTGACAACATTTTATATGGACGGTCACTGGGTTGTGTCCGCCAGAAAATGGAGATCACGATGCGGATGGTCATCCACCATTGTCCAAGGGTCAAGTATCCATCACGTGGTTGACAGCGGAGATCACGCGTAAGCACAACCCTGAGTTCGAAGGCATTCCCCTCACGGAGGAAAGTTCGGAGCGTGATAAAGACATTTATGCACGTATCTACATCCTCGGCATGATCGGAGGAGTTTTCTTCCCCAAGAAATCCAACAACTTAATCAGCAATTCATGGTTGAAGATCATACTTGGGAGTTGGGATGATATGGGAAACCTGAGCTGGGCATCTGCTTGCCTAGCTCATCTCTACCGATCCCTCTGTAATGCTAGTGCGAGAGCGGTGAAGGAGATTGATGGGGCCATGTTCATCGTCCAATTTTGGGCTTGGGAGCATTTGCCATGGATTGCATCGAAGGTAGACCCCGACAAGGAATGGGGACCCGACCATCCCCTTCGACATGAAGCTTATGGTTGTAGGTAAATATTTTCTATCCCACTCATAGTTCTCACCTTTTTTTACTAATTGGGTATTTTATAACGAACCAGCTATTATGTATTAACATGATGTACTTTTTGGATTGAATAGGTGTCTTGGTGAAAAAACATGCGACAACCTAGGAGCGCATAAGTTGGAGGAGTATCGTAAGAGGCTTGATCGTCTTTGGGAAGCAGAGGTGAGCATCATAATACGCTATTAATTCCTACTTTTTTTTTCAACTTATATTATTATGTTTCTTAATGGTCTATTTTTATGCGCCTTCGTAGCTTAAGTTCGATCCGTATCCAGAACGCATTGTCGCGCATCAAGTCCACAAGTTCCCGTTGCATCCCGGTCAATGGTGCACCCGAGTTCCACTAATCTGCCACCATATAGTGGAGTGGCACTTGCCGGATCGATGTCTACGATAATTCGGACGTGAGCAATGCCTACCATTGGATGTCCCGGAGAGTCAGAGGGGGTACCACGGGAAAGATGGTCGACAAGGAGCTACTAATTGGCCGGAGGAGTATGTAAAATTGATCCGCCTGTGGAATGTTAGGCAAGATCAGGATATTGTGACAGGATCTCATGTGGGGCAGATGGGCTACCATGACCCATACATGGAAACATACCGAAGACAATCTGTTCGTTACATGACCCCTGAAGGTGTGGCGGACAAAGCTTTGGTAAGTAATTCAGTTTTTATATTTAGTCATGCGGTGCATTACATTTTAAATGGCTCACGTTGTTATTTTCTTCGATTTAGGTTGATGGAATCGAGCGAATACACGACCTCGCGCGTACGGCAGATCATTCGGCTGCGGGTTGAGAGGTGGGGCTCATCGAAGGATAGCGAACAGTCTCCTTGGCTGTATGCGAGCGCGCGGACATGACCATCATAGATACCCGCCAGTTCCCCCAGTGAGACCGCCGCCGGTGACGGAGGAAGGCTTCCCCCTTGCCTCCACCGGTCCATAGAAGGCCAAACAAATCTACAAGGGATCGACCTCACGTGCCGGAGATCAAGCCGATTGAGGCGTGGAAGGTGCCTACTCCTTTGGAGGTGTGCAGCGGTGCAGGGTCGAGTACTCAGTATGATCCCCGGTCGAGTTTTCAGTACGATCCCCGACCAAGTGCTTTCTACGACCCCAGTACTCAACATGATCCTCTCCCTAGTTTCCACTACGATCCCACGCCCGGAAGCCAGTATGATCCGCGGTCAAGTTTCCAATACAATCTCCGACCCAGTTTCCAGTATGAACAACGGCCAAGTACATTTTATGACGCCACATCCTCAGCTACTTGGGCCGATGGTTCATACTCAAGTCCCCACCAAGCCTTCTCACCTTTGCATCGACCACAACAACAATGACAGCAACAATGGCAGTCCACTCCCCACCGTATGAGCGTGGATAGCCCTCGACCGCACACGGAGGGGCCACCTACCACGGCACCAAGGCGGCATAGCACGGAGGAGCGCCCTTCTACGAAGAATAGGAATCTGCCACCCGTTCCACCCTCAGCTACACCCGGTGGACCAGTCGCCCATCGCACAAGGAAACAGAGGGCAAATCGTCGAAATAATGCATGAGTGTGACAAGTTGTGTTTATTTAGAGTTATGTTTTGTTTAAATTAAGTTGAACAATTTATTTGTAGTTGAATTTATTTTTTAGTTCATCATGTAGTGTGTTTGTGTTCGTGATGTGTTTTATTCAAAAAGATGGAACATTGCATCGAAGTTTGTTAATTGTGCAAATCTCCAATGTCATTTAAGCACACAAAATACAAGTAGAGTAA